CTCCGGGGCCTGTAAGCCCTAAGTTTTAGGCTTTTAGGCTGACTGTCTGGGACGGGCCCTGTAGGGCCCGTGTGGCTACGCAGTATGCCACAGGGGAGCACCGGGGTCTTCTCAAAGTGGACCAGTATTTTGGAAGGTGAAATTGAGAGAAGAATGTAGCTTACTTTGTAGAAGAAGAAGAAGAAGAAGAAGGTACATGTCAAGTGCTGTGATCCATGTGAACAACAAAGGGGCTCTAAATATGAGAAATCTACCAAGGAATAGGGGCGGGAAGAGAGTCCAATCCATTCTTTTGTTTTCATGCCTTACTTTGGTATGCACTTAACGTGCCATGCTTTGGGGCACCTTCGACACTTGGCCAATCGCTCAGAGAAGTCATTCTCGCCTTCAATCCCGCCACATTTCTGACATTCATGAAGGGGGCATGAGAATTGCCCAAGGTTTTTCATCTCGAGCAAATCAGCGCTGCTCTTCTTTAGCTGTGCCGCCACACAAGACATGTGGTAGAACTGCCCACATAAGGCTGCATCGCATTGGAAGACCTGCCAACCAGCAAAAACACGATGATTGGCAACGAGTCCTTCAGTGTATAAGCCAATAATTTTACCCTCCTTAAAAAGTTGGCTGATCAAGGCAGAGCTTTTCTGATTGTTGTTGGTGGTGAAAAATCAAGAAATGTACAGATAAATTGAAATCACCACCTGCATACACACAAATTCCTTCTTGTTAAACAGTTCATGCAGGCCAATTGTTTCTTTCCAAGCAAGTCATGTTTTCCTCTCAATCTCGTGATCAGGACTTCCCCATGAACAAACACAGTAAGATAAGGAACTAGTTTAAGGTTTTTTGAACTCTTTTGTTCTCTTCCATTGTTCCCATTGGCCCCTTGGAGACCAAGCTTTCCAATCCACTGATTATTTTTTCAAATCTGAGTTGCGCTTGCTGAGAACAGCCCAAATCTGCTGAGTAGGTATTTGGTGGGGGGTGGGGGGGGAATAGGAGGGTATAGGGGTGATATTGGGGGTATTGGGGAGGGGGAATGAGGGTATTGGGGGGTGGTTTGACGGTCTTGAGGGGGTGTATGGAGGTATGGGGGGCGGGTATGGGGGTGTTGGTGGGGTTATTGGGGGTTATGGATTCCCAGAAAACAAATATGGGGATTATCTTCTTTTTTTTTTGGCCGAGTGCCGACAACCCCGACTGGTAGGTGCCGACCAGCCAACCAGTCAACGGGCACCGACCGTCGGGTGTGCAACACTGGTGATGACGATAAATATCCAAAGCACACTCTGTATGTGAGAACAACCTGCTCGACCATCGAAATGACCTGTGGAGCAACGAGGTGCACGATCTGAAAAAGCAAGTGTGATAGAGAACCTAGTGTGAATCCTGTATTGCAAAATACCCAACTTGTGCCCAGATTCACACCTGGTGGCCTGGCCTGTCATGACCTCCGGGCCCCAGCACAAAAAAAAAAAAAACCAGAAATAAAAACATGGTGTAGCCCTTTTTGAACCCCTTTTCCTGAGGATCACATCTGAATTCCTCACTGAATCAAAGATAAGGAAATGACAGAATCAGACTAACGCACCCCCCTTTTGAACCCCTTCAGCGGGAAGTTTAGCGCCTCTTCCAGTACATGCCAAATATCGGCCGCAGGCCCTTTTCGGAGGCCACCCGCCGCCGATTCGTTTTATCTACGGCGCTCGGCCCCCAAAATTTCCGGAGAGGCTCAAAACAAGTTCCATGTACTGGTTGTTTAAAGCAGTTAATGCCGGATTCGGGCTCCTTACCAGTTAATGCCGGATTCGGGCTCCTCTGGGACTGCGCGAAAGACCCCCGCTGCAAAAAAAAGAAAAAAGAAAAAAGCAAAGAACACACTTCTCTTCTTGCCCAGGTACTCTGGGCGACTTGCCCCGTTTCCCGGCCGGGCTGGAAAACCAACCTCGAAATATTGTAGATGAATTCTGAGAAAAACACTAGTATTTTTTCACAGGTCTTGGCCCAGACAGATCTGGACATTGTGATCAACTCCGATCCTAGGTCCAGATCTCGTGCTCTTTTCTAAAGCAGGGCCCCCTGCCAATCTCCTCTGTATCGTTCCAATTTTAACGGATGTCCATAGCAATGCTTCAAACAATTGCAAAGTGATCAGAATCCACATTCCTTGAAAGGTCAGGCATAACATACATCAGCATTCTGAACTTTTTCCAGGAGTCCGCATTCACACACCCATACATTGTCACATAACCCATATGACACGCGTGGAGCTTTCCTAATGTTAGCATTTTTTCAGCACAGTTAGGATTTGAAAGCATTTCACAGAATCTATTTGGAATTTTGGAAACTGAGATCCCTCATGACTCTACCACCAAACCATCAGCTTTGATGCAGATTCTGCATCCGTTTGCTGCAAAAACGCTGACATCTTCCCACAACAGTAGCAAATCATGTTCAGACTCCTTTGAAAAGGTACACAAACTACTGTCTTCACCGGAATAGAACGCCCGGCCATTATAGCTCCATTTGGCAGGCACAACTTTCAGTCCAGACGCAGCGATAATTCCCAGGCGTTTTATTCGGGTGACAACGGTAGCGTTGCTCATGCCAATAAGATTGCGAAATAACAAAAAAGTAAAAGTGGCAAAGACGGATTGAAGGCCACCTCCATGCACAATGACTTTAGTTTGCACCAATGAGTAGTTTCCCTCTCATTGGTTCTCATTCACTTACCTCCTGGGTAGTTGGGTCACTGTCGTCTGAATTCCCAAGCTTTTTGCACACGTAACATTGATGCCTCTTATATTGACAGTTCCCGCACACAAACTTGAACTCTTGTTTCTGCTCACCGTCAGTGGGGATAATCAGAAGCATCCCAGAAGGCCAACCAGCCACGAGCATGACAACATGCCAGCTGTCAATCAGCTACTCAACATTTGCATACAACCACAGATTAAGGCATACTCGCACACTAGGACTTCACATTCCATCTATCTCTGACAGGAATTCGTGCTTCTGGGTTTCAAGTATTATTTCATCAGTGACCATGATTGAAGTTTTACTACATACCACGCATAACGTAAGAAGAAGAGATATTTTTCAAAAAAAGAATGATAGCTCCTCGAAAGACTACCAAAACCATACGACTATAAAAGGAAAGCCACCCACATGTATAGATCAATGAAAGCTGTAAACCATACTTGCGGCGCACTTATGCGGTGCGCCGTGCGGTGCGCATGCGCCATGCATCGTATATATATTGTCACATCACTACAAACTAAAAGAGCGCACTTTGCGGAACAAAGAATAAAAGCAAAAAACGGGCACAGTGATAACATGCAAAAATAAAAAGAAAAAGAAAAACAAAAAGAAAAAACAAGGGCAGATTGAAACCATTAAATTTCTCATTCTTCTTTGAACTCCACCTCCACTGTGCCTCTCACGTGCAAGGCTTGCCACGTTGATGAAGTTGAG